AACTGTATAAAAAAGAGAGGGATCAGTATCTTGGACCACACATTAGACGAATGATCTATTGAGATCCTTATATTAAAACAACATATTTAATGTGTGGTCAGAGTTCAAAAATTACATATAATACGGCCCTTTATTTGAATAAAACAGTACAGTTGAGATCTGCATATGTGAATCTGATCAGAGTAAATCGTAGGGGTGATACAGAAATATTATTTGCATCTTTTTTTCTTTCTTTCACTCAATTTTAATTTTAATTTGTTTCTCTTATCCTTTTTTAAATATATGGTCTTAATAATAATTTATGTTTTATATGTTTTATACTCTGTATCTTGATATGGCCTAATGGCTAATCAATAATAATAATAAACTAAACTATTCCAAATAATGTAAATACTTTCAGAAGCTGTGTACCTTATACATAGATGAGAGGCCAATTCAAAATCTAGTGTAATACATTAACATCTTTTTGTGTTGCCTAATAAATAAGTAGACTTTAATTAATGTAGCGGTTCTTGCCACATACACATTACAAGCTGTTTCCAGAAGTAGAGCATAAGGAAGCACAGTAGCTTCCATTCATAAAATTATTTGGTACAGGTAGTCCTCGTTTAGACCGGCAGCTCTGTTGTTAAGCGTCGCTAAGTAGTAAATCATGTGACTGTGACTGTGCTTTCCTTTTCCCCACTCCCCTATTTCTATTAGCTATTATTTCCTGGTGATTTTTTTCTTCTTTATTTTTTAATTTTCTTTCCCTAATATTGTTGGGCTAGCAGCAGTCCCCACCGTCTGGTGTTTCCTTCCCCTTTTTATCTTGATTAATCCTTTTAATTCAGCAATTTTCCACTTTCATCATCAGGGACTGATATTTCCAAACATTCTGAAAATAGTTTAAAGTGTCTTCTGGTGAAACATAGCTTTTCCTGAGAACTATATTTTCTTTAGAACTAAGGTTTGGGTTGAGTAGCAACTTTACCATATTTAATGTGTTGTGGCTTTAGACAGGTGGAGTAAGTCCACAAACCAAATTCAGTGACCCTCTGGAATCACTGTGTAATCTCTGGCTTTAATTACTGCTTCCTCTACTTTAATCTGATTGTGTAACTATTATTATATTATCTTAGAATAAAACAATTAAGATATCCTTTTCTTATTTTCCTTTTTTTAAATTATTGCATGAGCTTAACCAGAAGACTTGCCCATGTTATCCCACATTTCTTTCTGGTGAAACAACTTGCAGATTTGGGAAACATGAACAATGTGTACATGCTCTAATGAAGAAGAGCACATGGATAGCTGGTAAGTATACCTCTAACCCAACAATTTTAAATCTCTAGCAAAGCTTTCGATTTCTTCCTGGTGGACACTGGAGTGTTAAAAGAGACATAACTGCCACTAGGTGAACTTCAGCACAGCGTTGCATTGTACTGGCAAAATAGCTTTCCTTACATTTATGAGGGTGTACAACTTGTTATAATGAGTATTATAATGTTAGGAAAGAGATACTGAGCATGTGACAACACATCTCTCATGACATCCAGATAGTTTTTGAGGAAGAAGATAACGTTTTATTGGAAGGAAGAAGTCTTGCAACAGGTTGAGGGATCTTTTTCAATCATAGGCACTGTTGAAACTTTAGCAGGGCAACTTGTGGTTTCCACTTCTATATATCTCAACTAAATAGTTTATAAATCAAGAGAATATTAGAGGAATCTTATTGTAGCATATTGTATATGATAAACCAGCATTATTACCCTAATCCAAATTACCCCTCACCCATGACATGCTATCTTTTCCTCCCAAGGAAGTGGACAAGGTCCTTGGGGCTATGAGTTTTCTGCCACCTCTGTTCTGGACCTGTGGTCCTCCTGGGTTAAGGCCTCCTAGGAGGTGGCATGAGCTTGGGTTCAAGCAGTGATTAATGTCTCATTGCAGAAGAGGATGGTGCTGCTTGCCTTAAAGGAGCCCATCTTTGGACCCAACTGTGTGGGACAACTTTCATCCAGTCTCCAACCTTCCCTTTTTAGAGTGGTAGGCACTTAGCTTCAAAGGGCCCTGGATAAAGCAGATTATCTGAACCTTTTTCAATCAGGATTTAAGTTGGGATATAGCACTGATGCAGTTTTAGTTGTGCTTGTGGATTACCCATGGAGGACTCAGGATGGGGTGGCACATCCATCCTAGCCCTCCTGGATCTCTCAGCAGTGTCTGATACCATCAACCATGGTATCCTTCTGAACTGGCTTCAGGGGTTGGGAGTGGGGAACACTGTTTTGTGGTGGTTCTCCTTTGTGGCTGATTCCAGTCAGTGTTTTTTGGGGGGGGAGAGGTAGAGCCCTAAGCCCCTCTCACTCCTCCACTTAGACATCTACATGAGACTGCTAAGAGAGGTCATCTGGTAGCCAGTGGTGCGGTATCATCAGTACACTGATGGTACCCAGGTATAAATCTCCACCCTGGCTTGGGGGTCCAGCTGGACTCACAGCTCCTGCTTGAGGAGCATGTGGCAGCCATGGCTAGAGGGGCCTTTTCATGGATTCATTGCAGCCATTCCTGAACCAGAAGGCCTTCCTCACAGTAACTCAAGCTTTGGTCACTTCCAGCTGGATTACAGGAATACTCTCTACATGGGGCTGCTCTTGAAGACCATTCGGAAATTAATTGTTCCAAAATGTGGCAGCATGTGCAGTTTTGGGTGCCCCACAGTTTGCCCATATTACACCGTTTGTAGAGAATAAGGAAGATGACCTTGACAGAGATATGCAAGATCTGTTACCAAAGGGATGAGGGGTGAAACATATCTTAAGTTCACAACAGACAGAAAACAGACAGAGACCTCCCTAGTTCACCTGAGTATATAAAGGGGATAGAGGTATAGCACAATCTGACTTGCAAAATTCTGTTATTATAGCTACTGTCAATAAAAGTAGTTTTAGCCATCCTGTGAAGTTGATTTCCTGGTCTGGTGGGACTGGGATGGCTATTGTGTGAACTGCGCTGGCTTCTGGTTTTTTTCTGGTGCAATTCAAAGTGCTAGTTTTCACCTTTAAACCCCTGAATGGTATGGGGCCAGGTTATTTTCAGGACCATCTCTCCCTGAGGGTATCTGCCAATTCCACCAGGTTGGACGGCGTATGTGCACTCCAAGTCCCTTCCCTTAAAAGTTGTCATCTAGTGGAACCATGGAAGGGCGCCTTCTCCATAGTGGCCCCTGCCCTGTGAAATGCCCTTTCCCCTGAGATCCAGCAGACCCCTATCCTCCTAACCTTTCAGAAGACCTGGAATTGCTGGGTCTTCTTGTAAGTGTTCGGCAGAGTGAGGCTGGAGCTGAATAAAGTTGAATACTGACGAGTGGAGAAGTGTTGCCTTTGGGGCACTGAGAGTTTTTGTTATGGTTTTATGGCTTTTTGATGTTTTTATTATTGTTTTGTGAGGTACCCAGGGTTATGGTACATAAGAATGGGTGGCCATATAAGTCAAATAAACAAACAAATAAATAAATAAGTTAAAAAGGAGGCTGTAACCAATGCATGCTTTGTTATATAAAGATTGCAAATGACATTCCTTTCATGCTGTGAGACTGCATGCAAGAAAAATAATAGAGGCAAAACTTTCCTTATTTATAACCATCTCTCCCAAAAATGGACTCAACAGCATGTGTTAGACTACAATCCCCATTATCTCCACTAAGTATGGTGAAACAGAATGATAATCCATAATTTGGAGGGTATCCAAGGAGACCTCTTCATAAGATTGGGAAACTAGACATTCCTAGAAGATTTACTGTATATATGTTGCTCAAAATAAACCCTTTGGGACTTGCATCATGAGTTCATTCATGAAAGCACTGAAATTATAAATGCTGCAGCATACCTTTCCTCTTCTTAATGATGGGTCTTCTACATCATAACTCTCTTTCTTTTCACCATCTTCTTTCTCCATGCAACATTTTCCACTCCCTGCCAATGGGCAGCATTCCTAAGCAAAGAATTCATTCCATGATATTCTGGCATCATATGATAATATTGGAAATACTTTTTTATAGTTCTTAATGTTTAATAATAATAATAATAATAATAGTGATGATGATGATGATGTTATTCTTTTAGGTATTTATTCACTGTTTTAGTTTTGTTGCATGCCACCCAGAGTCACTTGCTTTGTGAGATGGGCAGATATATACATTTGACAAACAAACAAACAAATAAGAAATCTAGAGGGAGCTACTCATTACTGTCCTGAATCATTTTATTGCTAGATATTTCTTTGTGCTCTGCTTCACCAATACTGTATAGCTTGGGGTATGTTATAAAGATTGATTGGGTGATTTTTGGCCAGAGACCACCACTGATGCTATTGGGATCATAGGAAAATAAAAACTCTCAGATTATACTCAACTTCAAAGTTCAAAAATTCTAGATTATGGACTCCGTTTTCTTCACTGTAATGATACTGCTCTGCACTACCCTAATTAAGGAAGTCTCTAGCATTTGCATTGGCTGACTGACCTATTTTCTTTGTTCCACTTTTTTTGAAGTGGAGAAGCTCTATATAAGATGGAGCCAAATTACACTAGATCTCTTCTGGTGCTTTGTGGAACTATCCTTTACTTGGGAATAGGCACAAACAAATAAGAGATCTTCCGGTGCCTTTTTAGGAATTCAAAACATATCAAGGTAAAATATACAAGAATTGGACTTATAACCAAAAGTCATTATGTACCCTTCCCAAAATCCAGCAGGACAGGCTTTCAAGTTGGAGCAACTTTTGTGTATACAGTATGTTTATTTTTATAGAATATAGTGTTTGAATGTTGTTTCTATTCAATATGGAAGCATATAAAAGATATGACCCAGATTTTCTACTTAGTTCTTTCCTTTGTAAAATAATCATTTTTTGCAAATGGAATAGTACCTGCACCTTCTCCCATTAATGAGCACCTTCAGCAAAATGAATACATTGATATAGCCGTTTGTTTCCTTACCAAAGAAAAAGCACTAAAGCTGTCCATTATAGGTCTATATCCAGTGCAACGGCACAAATTACCTGGAAGAAATGATCAGACACAGAGATAAATTTATTTCAGAGATGAATATGCATTCATGCCACCCTTTTCATGCATGTGCATCACTCAGGGAGGCTAACAACAATTATAATCAACACTAACTTTACACAATTTACAAAAGAAACAAAAATGACAACCATTATATAATAAAACTACTTAATAAGAGAAAACCAAAGCAGCAGGAAATATCTTCAAATAAAATTTTATTCCGTGCGTAGAAAGAATGCAGCAGTTTTTCTTCCAAACAGTTCTCTGCAGGAATAGGAGAGATCTCCATGCCAGAAGAGCTTCCCCTCCAGTCTAATCTTTGCTCCCTTCAACAAACTTAATCTGTAAATTAAAGTTATTCTGCTGATAAAAAAATATAATGTTAAAGGGTATGTGAAGAAGGCACCTTATCCATACCTTAATTAAAACTTGGTTACCTTATATGTTTTAATTTATTGATAGTGTACATTTTGTGCCATTTGTACTTCAAAAATATTTCAAAATAGCTAAGGCCACCTGGAGCCAAGATCTGAGGAGGAGGCTCACTAATTGGTTATACCCTCTCTAGCCTATGTATCTAATACAGGCGGAGAGCAGACACATGCAGAGAAGACAAATATTAGAAGTATCCAGTAGCAGAGCCAAGTAAGAGCCGTTCAGGAGGCAAACACCTAGATACATAAAAATAGCTGATTCTTTTAGTGTGTGTCCAAACTGTTAATGAGCTTTTGGGAGAAAGCCAGCCTACCATCCAGAGATGCAGTGATCTGCTCCATGCTGGGTTCAGGATGATTTCTCAGTAGAGAATACATAGACATCACCATCCCAGGAGTACAGAAGCCACACTGAGAACCATGACACTTCGCCAGCCTTTCCTGGAATCAAAATAATATCTGAATGGATGATCCATGGGAAAGCATTGTCTTGTACATATAATTATAACTATTTTTTTAATCTCCTGGACTTGAATTAACTGTTACTGCAATTGTGATTTGTTTATAAAATGTTATCTTTGTGATCTTATTCCAACTCTATATTTACTGGGTTTTTAAACAGATTTTTCTTCTGATTGCTACAAAAAGCAATTAAGGATCAACTTTTTTAAAAAGAGAAAATGTTGTTGTGTATGCAACATATGTCCAAATTAATGGCTACATAAATTGTCACAACATTGGGGAAGGTTTTTAGAAGCTTTAATACTAATTTTTGCATCTTTCTTTGGCATAGTGGACACTCTTTTGCTTGCTGGTTGTCCTGCTCTGTGTCTCCTCTGCTGCATACACTGCATGAATCTGGAGCAAAACTTGCATCGCAGGGGGGTGATGTCTATACAGATTTTCATCACATGCAGCACAACCTTTATGCTATATTTAGTTTCCACTGCCTTAAACAGTAGCCTGCAGTGCAGGAGTTAAGAAGAAATCTTCCCAATCGTTTTATCTCCATATCACAAAGCTGCTGGGTGCATCCACATTTTGGATGCAGAGCCAGTAGCCAACTTGACAATCTGCCAAATATTTACTGTCAAAAAAAATGTTCCAGAAAATGGAGATCTCGCTCCCAAGGGCCTCATTGGAACTGGGGTCAGCCAACTGCATTGTTGTCTCAAAATACCACATAAAAGTCCAGTTGCAACCCTTTATAGAATCTGTCATAAATCCTGATCCCACATTGCAGGGGGTGATAGGGGGTTTCCTCCTTCTCTGGCATATATGGGTCACTGCTATAGCAGCAACACATTCACCAGATACCCTGGCACACATATCAATGGAAGGGGAGGAAGGAAGAATCTGTGGTGCAACCACAACAACCAGATAAGGAGAAGAAAGAGAAAGAGATGTTTGGTGAGATGGGATAGCTGAGGAAGTTGGGAATGGAAAACTGTTAGGAGTTATTCTCCAGTTCAGATGGTATGAACGAGGCCTGAGAAAAACCATAGGCTGAAATTCTCAATTCAGCTATGAAATAAGCACTGTAAATCATCAAATCTTAATTGACATAACAATTGATCTATTACTCTTACCTGTATAGGATTAAGTTTGGTCTTCGTGGTTCCCACGCCTTCTACAGTGGTTATTGCAGCACCATGGACTGAGCACAATGGAAGTAGACAAGAGTTGGCTGGATAATGTCTTTGGGATGTAAAGGAGAATCTCCACATGCCTAACCATTAAGATAGTTTCAGATGATCTCCAGACTATTTAATGCAACAAATTGTCTGGGACTTCAGCATTCCATAGTCCTCCAGAGAGAACCCACTGTTACTGGCTGGGTCAGTACCTTGGAGCAATGTTATTTTCTATGTTTTGGGACAAAGTTGATGCAAATTGATTTCCATTATAGATAGAATAGAATTTAAAAATAATTCCTGTAAGTTAAATACAAATAAAAAGCTGTGAGGAACAGTGCCTGGTCAGTCTGGGATCCAAATGTTAATTGTTGATCGTCCCCTGCAAGGCCCTGTTTTCTTTTCTTACCGCCTATTACTCTGAAACCAGACTTGGACTGGACACCAACAAGAAGCATTAGAATAGAGGATAAAGTACTAAATAGGATTGGATTAAAGGATGCATTCCATCAATCATGATTCCAGTTATAACCTGTTCTTACTTTACTAATGATTCAAAAGAATTGCAACCAAGAGAAGTGCTACAGAGATTCACAATCATCCCACCACCTTAGAAAATAAGGGAAGGGGGAGTGAGGGACAATGAATGTCTTCTTTTGACAGCACTAAAGTTAGAGCAGGTCCTTATGGTTTCAACCAAAACTTGGCATCAGGCCTCTTAAACCCATGTTGGCCTGCTGAGGTTCCAATTCCTCTGCCATTCCTTTTTTTGGTTGTTCTTGTCTGACGAGAATTATTCTTTTTCTGGACCAAACTGTATTTCCCCCAATTCTTTGGGGTGAAAGTAATATCAGATAGTTGCCTTAGCTTGCATAACCTTTATGCAGAATCCACCTTCCCCTTTTCTGAAGGATACTGTATCTTTCTGGAGTCAGGGTTGTAGGTTGATATCATCACAGTGCAGGCTCCACAGCCTCCAATTCCACAGCCATATTTAGTTCCAGTCAGGCAGACTGATATGGCACATTGTTAAGGAAGGAAAAGTTGATTACTGTTAAATACTGGGTATTTTTCCAGAACAATTTCCCCATTACTTTCAATTTCCACAGGGAGCAAGTGGGAAGAAAATAAATAAAGATCAGGTTAGCTTACCTGGAGGAAGAACAAGAACAAGAAGGATACCTACCAGCAGAAGAGATGTGAGGATGCTCTGTTACACATTTCTAAATCTATCCTGCTCCCCATATTGAAAGGTCAACCTGTGGTTCAAACTGGCTATCTCTTTGGTCTATTCCCTGTCATTATCCTAATCAGGAAATGTCAGGTGCCCTTAAAAAGTTAGGATACTAGACAAAGGTTAATTATTATATTCTTACTTGTTAACAATACATCTGCCTTTTTTCCAAGAGCTTGGCAGCTTTCATAGGCATCTTCCTTCATGTTATTCCCATAAGAGCAGCCCTGTGAAGTAAGCTGGACTGAGAGAGAATGATTGGCCCAAAGTTATTCAGTGAATTTCTATGACTGAAAGTGGACTTCACATAATTCCAGAAAATATAAATGAAAAACTTCACTAAGGACACATTTGGTATAACATTGGAAAAGAGAAACTTTGCCAACAATACAAGACTGGCAGACTAAAATTGGAGAATATGCGGTAATGGCATATTATATCCAATATATATCCATAATAAAAGTTTAACCAAACATAAGCAGGAATGGCTGCCTTTCACACCACATATCACACAGCAAAGCAAATTTAGACATTTGGAATATGGTTTCTAAGAAAAGAGTCATGAGACTGATAAAAAATAACAGATGAAATAACAGATACTAGCAACAGCCTTCAATGTTCAACGTTTAATGTAAAGTACAAATTTTTAGATTAGCATTTGGGAAAACAAATGGAAGAGGATAAAGCATCACTGAAAATCCTGTCTGTCTGTCTGCCTACCTATCCATCATCCATCCATCCTATAGTTTTTTTTTTCTTACTCTGTGTTTTGTACCTTTAACTTTCTAAAAATCTGTTAAAAGCTTAAATTTTCTTTTAAAAAGTGTACTTCACCAGAAGAAGCAGGACAAAACTTTTTCAGTCAACTTTTGCTTGTTTGTGTTTTGGGGCATGTAAATGGGAGCTTTTCTCTCACAAAGGAGGCCTTACATTCCTATTTGGCCCTTAAAATTGCCCCCTTAAAACTGCAGAAAAGTAATAGTTCCAAATCAGGCAAATATTGCAATGCTACAAATTGTCCATTTTGCTGCTGATTTGGTGGCATGCTTTCAGAGCACCTTGGGTACTGTAAATGGCCTGCAGTGAGTTACCTATTCCTTTTACCTGAAAGAAAAATGCCCCAGTTCCTGAATAGCTTTAAAATTGTCAGACAAGCAACAATGAATAATTACAGAGCTTTTGTAAAAAGCAGATATTCAAGTATTCACCGAGATTCCCTGAAATAGAAAAGATCCCCTGCAGAAGAGAAAAAGAGTGGGACAGGCAGGTAGTCTTGGAGACAGGTGATTCTGCAAGTAGCCTGGCCCTGTGCCGTAAATGTGATAGGCAGCACCCTGAATTGCATCTGGAAGCACATCAGAAGCCAGCGCAGCTTGTGCAACAGTGGTGTCACATGGGTGAACCTTGGGGTGTCCAGAAGTGCATGTGCTACCACATTCTGGACCTGAGACATCCAGGCACTTTTCAAGGGCAGCCCCATGTACAGCACATTGCAGTGATCAAGGCACGAGTGACAATGATTCCTGATTCAGGAATGGGTACAACTGGCGCAAAAGCCCATACTAGCCATGGCTGCCCCCTGCTCTTTGAGCAGGGGCTCTGAGCCCAAGAAGACCCCCAAATTAATGTTCATTCACCTATACTGTCTAAGAAATCTATAGTACTTGCCTTTCTAAAACAGATAAAACCCAACATACAGTGGTTAAGGTTTTGGACTAGGAGTGGGGAGACCCAGGATCAGGTTCATCCTCAGCCACAGAAGCCCACTGGGTGACTTGGGGTTGGTAGCTCTCTCCCAACTTACCCCACAGAGTGTTTGTTGTAGAAAAAAATTGGAGAAGGGAACACCATGTATACTATCTTGAGCTTCTATAGAAAAAGCAGAATATATGTCTAAAAATAAATAAATAAAATTGTATCATAAACTAAACTTTGTCAGCAACTAGGTAAGTACTGTATTTGCATATTTTTTAATATCTAAATAGATTATGTAAGTTTCTGAAAACCTTCAAAACAGCTGGGTAGGAATAATCTCCACACAGTTATCTATTGTGAGGTGTATTTAGTATAAATTATATCCAGGGAATGAGAAGAGGCTAATTTTTTAAAACACTGTAAACATCAAGTGGCACTATAAACAATGCAATATCTTCAAGGATTTTCTGTTCTGGTAATTAAATTTGATACCAATGTTTGTAAACTAAGAAAAACTCAAGCACAAACTTTTATTAGCTGGTTTAAAGTTGCACCTTTGGGAGCTTGTCCCACAAAAGTGGGAAAAGCAGCATTCTCTGATATTCCATTTCCTGCACCCACAACTGAAACATAATACTTTCAATCAGTGCTATTATTTGTATTTTAAGAAAACCATTAATTTTTGAGGTCCTGCTTCGCACAGTATAAATAAATGCGAACGGAAAGGCTTTGTTTTCCTAGTGGTTTGAGGTTTACTTCAGTTACAGGAAAATCATTATGCATTTTGCATAATAAGTAGAATTTGTTATGAAATGCTGTAGAAAAAAAGGATACGCTCCTTTCTCAGATAGTTAAGCAAGTATTCTTCAGGATCAGCATATTTTTCTGTCACCTGCATTGAAAGAGGATTTAATCATTATAAGGATATAATGCACTTTGCCCCAAAAGATTTAACAATGCTTTTAAGGGCGGAAATTAATACTGCACATTCTGTCTCTCCTCTTACTTAGGTTTAGGATTACAGGCATACAAATGTCTTGGCATGTTTGGGTGTAGAGACTTGAGTCATCAGTTAGGAGAGAAGGATACTGGAAAGTTATTTGACTTGCAGGCATTCAAACAACAATACGATCATTAGGATAAGAAGGGGACAAGTGGGACATGTCACAAATCCAATGCAACGTGAAGGTCTGTGGCTCAGTGGTGAATTTACTCAGTCATCCTGCCCTCTTCCTTAACGCTACAGTTTATCCCCCACCATGGATCCCTGTCCCAGCAGACTTTCTACTTCTGGGCTCCCTTATGGCAAATTATAAAGCATAAATTCCAAAAGAATAGAATTAAAATCAAGGCAAAATTAAAATCAATACAAAATAAGCTGAATTAACAATTAAAACTTGGTGAATGTCAACCCTTTGGGGTAGACCAGATCAGGAAACTGACTCCATGGGAGGACTAGAACTCTATTGAGATTCTAGTAACCAAATCTTGAAAGTCTGACTGTGCTTCGACCCCCGCCCCCACTCCCTTTTATACCCCAGGGAGTCAAGGAAGAGCCAGCCTGAGTCTCTTCTTAATACTATATTCTTTCGCAGATGTCAGTTTTGTTTACTTAACGGTTTCTGAAGGCCATCTCCCTGGCTTTCTATAGTGAAAGAGGTGTGCTTCTGCTGTTTTCTTCAACACCAGGACAGCAGGGGGAAGGCTGGAGATATCACCCAGGAGAAGGCCCTCTCCTAGACCTTAGATAGGTAAGCTTTGTCAGCAGAGATCTTCAGAAGTGTCTCTCCTACTGATCTAAGTGAATGGACAGGTTCATAATAGCAGTACTGCCCCCCCTGTGAGTCTGACCCCAACTTGTTTAGGGATGTAAAGATCAGTTCCAGCACCTTTGGCTCTAGTGAGCAACTGACAGACAGTGCAGTTTTTCAGTACAGGCATCGTATATTCCTTGTACCTCTCACCAGTTAGCAGCTTAGCTGCCACATTTTGCATCCATTGCCACTTTCAGACACTTTTCAAGGGCTGCTCCATAGTAAGACAATTATAGTAGTCAAGATGGAATATAGCCAAAGTATGTTTAATGACAACCACAGTCAACAATCAGATTCACTATAAATCTACTGGGCAATTTGTGTGTAAATTAACCATTCTGCATAACAAAGCCTACTAATTGGATGTTGCTCACTACTTCCACAAAAAATGCGGACCATTAATCTGTCAGTATGGGATCCTGCTGTGCTAAACATGTGGTTGTGATTGCATATCAGTGGGGATAAGATGGCATCCAGTGAGCACTAGTTCACAATGATCTCCACACATGTTCATCCATTTCCTGATGAAAATTGGTTTCTGTAGCTTTACATGCAGTCTGGGGACACTGTATCCCATTTCCACATGCATATTATTAACTTACATGGGACATATTGTAATTGCACAACCACTTTTGGGTGAGGACCTATAAAGGACATGGACTTCTGATACGGTCTTCTAAAGAAGCATTTGTGGAAATAATAGAGGAGAAAGCTACCTGTTGTGCAAATATTCCAATATTATGTTCTTAAACTATTATGAAAAGTATGGGATAAAGCTAACTCAAGGCACAAGCCATAAGAAACATCATAGGAAGTCAAAAGACAAAGAAATAGACACATTGTCCTTCCCTCCTTTTCTGATGTGGAAAGTTATTTTGTTTTTTGCCTCTCCTTACTGACACCATTTGGAATACAGTGCAAGCAATTTTAGTTTAAACAGGCATTGGTTCTTCTCTTGTTTCTAATTAAATTTTTTGGGAAATAGTAATGTTATTCACTCCATCTCCTTCTGTTACTGCTGGATTATTTTATTAATTGAATGGCAAGTTAAGACTGGCTGAGCTATGACTTATATTAATTTTTATTCTGGTAAACTCTGGGAAAGCCCCAAGGGACATACTTACCTAACCAGGGATGAACCTGAGGCACCACATTAACATTCTTCCAGGTATTCACCTACTTCTTTAGACTAAATCAGTTGTCTCTCCAAAATATAATACCTGCCTCACCCTACCATCCAAACTGAAACTGTGTGAGGTGAAGGTAGAACCTGTGAGTTGCATCAGAGCAGTGGTATAAAAATGCAAAAAATGTTTATGTATTTATTTAAATTTATTGCCCACCCAACACCAGTGGTCTACTTTTCTTTCTCTTCCTTGGATTCAGAAACAGTCTTCCAAACTGTGGCAATCTTTTCTTAATCTGATACTTTACAGTGATTTTTGTAGTGGAATTTGGCTCTGTAATTGTATGCATTTTAGATAACTTTAAAGAGTAAGGACTGGATTATGGTTCCAGTTTGACTTATGATCTGAACAAATTATCTGTTCAAAACTCTGAAGCCTAACTGCCTAGTTGCTGAATTTTGCACAAGACTGATTGGAACAAGGCACCATTTCTCAATCCAGGAAAGTGACTTTCAAAAAGAAAAAAAGAAATCTGCATATCTAGGAACCATAAACAATGCTAGCCAGACTGATAATATCTTTATTTAGGGATTATATTATGATAGCTTTTCCATACTTCTTATTCCTAGTTATTCTTATTCCTAATTACTAATAGAGGCATTAGTATTATTGCAATAGTTCTACTAACTATTACAATAATTAGTATTGCTGTACCGAGAATCTCCTTTTTCAAACTCTTTGAAATTCATTTTTTTCCTACTGATTTACCTCTATTTAGCACCTACTCATCAGTATTTTGCATTCATTTTCTTAACTTGTTTGTAATTATTCATTTTACTCTTTGTTGCAAATACATTTGTCATGCTGGGAAATCTTAGCAAAGAACTGATTGGACATTTTTGGACAATTGGTAAACCTGTAAAAAGATTTGCATCCACTATTTGGATCTGCTTGCTGAGTGAGTTGACACTTTCGGTCGGTTCAGCTGCTGCACCTAAATATGCAGGATAATGGCCCCTGACTGGAACCTGTTCTTGTTATGTCATGTTTGCAGAAAAGAGGGCAAGACAAAGAGCAAAAGAAGACTGCCAAATGTTAAGGTAGTGGGGAGTCGGAATGGAGTAGGTTGTTTCCCGGGCATTTCTTTGTATTTTAATACCCTATTTTGTGCTTTATCATACTGTATTAGAATTCTAAAAATATAAAAAACCAGAAATGTAGTTTGTAGACAAACGCTTCAGGCCTAAAGGATGAGGACAATGAAAGATCCATATTTACAGCCCCCCCCAAAAAACCCATTAAGTATCACCTCTTTTATATGTCTGAAAAAGGAGAGTGATCTTGTTTTTTTTTAAATAACAATTTTCATTAAAATATAATGTATGGTTTTACCTAATAAATCTAAACTTAAAAGTTAATGCTTTCTATTACTGCTGCAACTACAAATAATACTATTGAAATCAAATTAATAGATCTAATAATAATATACCACAGCTATTACATCTTCTTCTCCCATCTGTTCCAGAAGGGTTTTAATAGACATATTCAAAGTATGGGCATAATCCAGGCAATTCTGCACTGTTAATCACTATCGATGTCAAAAAGACATACAGTTAACTCAAAAAGAACAATATATTTAACTCAAACTCACTAGAATTTTAATATGGTTTCATTTATTTCTGTGAAATAAGTATTTATTTATGAATAAATAAATTTATGAATAAGTATATTCATAAAATATGACCTATATTTCTGGATGCCTTCTTTTTTTCTTGCATGTATCATGCAGGCTAAAGTTCCCCTTGAGAACATCAGTAGGTAGTAAATCTGGCAAAAAGCTACTTAACATATTTGTAAATTGGTGCTAATTATTAGACAGCATAATTACCTAGTTTTAAATAGAAAAAGAAAGTGTCATCTGACTAGAATTCTTAATAACTTTTCAGATTATTATATAGCAGTATCTTAATTAGCTTAGACTTGGCAAACCTTTACCTTACTTACAGTGATAAAGTAATAGTTACACAATATGACAATATATTACACAAAATCATTTTTATAACAGTTGAGTTCATTTCACTGGTTTAATGATCACTTTATTCCTATCATAGCCTACTGCATATAAATAACTGAAGAAAATTTACATCTTTAATAGGTATGTCATGATTACCTAATTTTATTTATGTGAAAGCAATTACTACTGCATGTACACAGATGCCTCACTTAAAGATATAACATACTGAATTGTCAAAAAACTTCATGGAAAGTCAGAATAATTGGTGTGCAGGATCAGGATTAATACAGCATCATAGCACATTCCTAACTTTCCTGAATTTTTTTTTTTAAAAAGAGTACATGTTCTGTTAGAGAAAAGAAATCCTTACCTTCCTTCCATTCACAAAAAATATGAGCTCATCTGATTGTGGGGGACAAGCCATTCTACAACTGAAAAGCACACCTTGAGAGCTGTCAGGGATGATGCTCAAGATCAGTAAAGAATGAAGGATTTTGCAGTGGCAGTCAATTTCTAAAAACTAAGCAACAGATGAAATGAGGGAGGAGGGGCCTGAATAGAATTATTCAAAATCCCCTTGGAAGGTTGTATTTCTTTATCTCCAAGCAATAGATGGATTTACTTGGAAGAATTTAACAGTATTTAGAAGTGAATCAATTTCCCATGCCTGTGGTCACATATTTACCTGCACACATTCCTGGCATATATTTTTTGGATCAGGGGCTATGATGGCACATGGCACACTATAGCATTTATAGTTATTTTTGGTTAAAATTAGCCACAGTTAACAGGCTATTATTTGTGTTTTACAGCAAGATACAGAAAGTTAAATGAATATAAAAATTCAGTACAAACAGATACAGGATTTGTGAGAGAACATGATGAAGTGTGGTTCCATATTTTCCCAACTAAACCAAAACAAAAAATAATACAAACAAAATTGGAAGAGAAGAGGAAAACTGAGGGAATTTAGGATGACCAAGTAGAGATAGATAAGAAGGAGTGAATGAAACTGGAAGCAAGCAGTTTGTACTTTTTAATTATTTTGTATTGTGTTTTGTGTTTAAAGTGTTTAAAGTGTTGTGAATCACTCTGGAAAGTAAGATATAATTTTAGACATAGATAAAACAGAAAAAAAAACCCTGCTTCCCTTCTTGAAATCTGTGTATGGATTTAGGGTGAATGGGGAAGATATAGGGTATCCATTCTCAGTTCTCAGTGAGGAAGGGAGATGGTTCCTAAACTTTCTTGTCACTCTCTTGTTATATCTGATTTCCAAACCTGTGGATGGAACAGCACTGAGTCTTTTCTGTGAGAAGTTTATACTGTGCAAAATGGACAAAATACTAGAAAAATAATTGGCTGGCATAAATGGCCTTCTTCACAGATCGATATAATAGTGAGGGATGGATGTTAGTCTCAAATCTCTGTATAGATTGGAATCAAACATGCTTCAAAACAGCCTTTTAAAATTCTCCACCAAATTTGTGGAAAGAGAAATTGGGTATATGATTTCTCTGAATTTCTCCTTGGAAAGGAGAAATTCTACAATAATTTCTCAAGGGCGGGATTCTCCCTTAACGGTGGTAGAGGAATTGTTACAGAAAAAGCTCCAATGGGATGAATTACCTCACGGGTAACTCTGAATTTAATAGAAGCATGGGAAGTCAAAATGTCTACAAACCTTCAGGGAAATGGTCCTGCAGTGAAAGAACAGCCTCTTCCAGCTCTTGACCACCTCATTGCTAAATAAATGTAAGAATACCATGCTCATCAATAACAATGACTCTGAAATGCTCTTCTTATTCAAAAGAATTTCTGAAGCAAATTATTTTTCATCAATGAGAAATGGTAGGAAAAAAAAAAGAATTTCTCTGCCCACCAAAAATTCAAATAGATGTACAAAATGACAATATGAAGAAAGAACCAAATTTAGAGGAAAATCTTACAGATTTAATTTGTGTTCTAATATATTTGATTATGTGATCATTCTCTCAAATGTTTGTGGGGAAAAGTGCAGTGAGATGTGAAGGAATGGGAATACTAGAAATGCATGTGATAAATTTTAGCTGTTATATTAAGTACAGTAAAGGTAATATTAGCAATATAAGTTTTGCCTCTGCCTTCTGTTTAAATCTCTTTATATGGCCTTATCCCTTCTGCAGTGCAGCCCTTGACATGCTGATGTATCTTTCAGCACAGCAGGTATTTCTATGCCATATAAATAAATTAAGGTAGATAGAATACACAACATAAATACAGGTCTGGATGATCTTACATAGAAAAGATTTTCTTCAAAGAAAAAAAATTAAAAAGATGTATGATTGACTGACGCCATATTTAGCTAAAAGGTGCAAATGCATGCAGGAAAGTAACCCGACTAGGTGTAATAAGGGGAAAAGACGCCCTCAGGGTTCAACCAACCCCTCCTCAGAGAATTTCAGTCCTGAGGTAACCTGCTCCTGTGAATGAACAGTGACTGGAAAATAAGGTCTCCTAGCTGCCACCTCCCCCTTCACCATAAACCAGTTTCTACCTTCCTCACCAGCCCTCTGGGAAACCAGGAGAAAGTTGAAGGGGAAATCCTCTCCCCCATCCCACCCCTGGGTCTGGCTAAATACAGAAGGGGACACCAAACAAAACCTTTGGGAGTCTGCAGCTCAGCCAAACTGAGGCGGGAGCTAGAAGGCCATCAGTGAACTCCAGGATTTAAACAAAAGTCAACTTTATTAATGGCACCAAAAGAAGATAGGGCTCTATACACACAATAAACAGTTTAAAAAATATTAAAAAAACAAAACAAAACAAAAACCTTAACACAATTCTAACCTAAACCAACCACTCAGTTTCCAACTGTGATGGAATGGACTTATGAAGGCCAGGCTCAAGGAGATAAGCATGTTCTTAGCCCCCAACAGGAACATGGGAAGTTCAAGATGAGGCTGGCACCTCCCTAAGGAATTCACGGTGTTGTGGCTGGCTGGCTTGGGAACTAGGGTTGAGTCTGGGGAGATTGATGTCAGGTTCAGCCCAAAGAACTCCAAGAGACAATGCAAATACAGTTCTGTTGCATTTATTAGCTTCAACCTCAAGACAGAAAGCTCACCAGACTGAACCCTAGTTCCCAAGCCAGCCAGCCACAACACCATGAGTTCTTTAGGGAGGTGCCAGCCTCATCTTGAACTACCCACGCTCCTGTTGGGGGCTAAGAACACACTTATCTCCCTGAGCCTGGCCTTCATAAGTCCATACCATCACACCAAACTTGCCTGAAGTCAACCCCTCATCCAGGACTCCATCCAACTCTCTCACAAAAGAACCCAAACTCTTCCCATCCAAAACTTGACAGAACTTCCTTCTCTTTTTTTTTAATTGGCCCTCAGGGGTCAGGTGACTCCCTCTGGGTACACCAGGCTGGGTTGTGATTTAGAGGGCCAGCTGCTCCCCGTTATACTAGGTCAGTGTTTCTTAAACTTTTTGCTCTCAGGAGCCTTTCCTGCTTTTAAAAATTATGGAGCTTTTGTATGTATGGGTTATATTTATCAATATTTACTGTATTAAAAATTAAAACTGACACCTTCATAGAATATTTATTTATTGAATCATGCAAAAATAACAATATTAAACCTATTAGGTATTAATATAAATAAAATATTGTTCATGAAAAACCCTACATTTTTAACAAAAATAATAATGAGAAGAGTGGCATGTTTTAAATTTTTGCAAATATCTTCAATATCTGGTAAATAATTTTGATTTCATGGACCCCTGAGAGGGTCTCCAGGGGTCCTCGGAACACACTTTAAGAAACACTGTACTAGGTTAAGTCTAGAGTCTGAGAATTGAGAAGAAAACACTCTCTGGACTTTTCCCCTAGAGAAAGTCATATTCATTTATTTCTGTTTCATTTGCAGGTGTTCTGGAAGGTAGGGAATTTCAGGAAGGGAAGCATCCAGGGGCTTCTGATGAAGATCATGGTGATCTAGATATCTCCAAAGGAGCAGGGATGACATTGCGGCAGAGAAAGGTGGTCAGGGGCTGAATGCTGGCTGGCGAAATCTTTCTAGATAAAGGAGAGATTGTGAGATTACCCACTTGCACTCTATATGGCTGCCCCTCATGAGCAAACTGCAGAAACGGAAGTTTTTGCAGTCGGCTCATGAGTCAAGTGGCTGGGAGTTGAGGGATTCCATCTAAGCCTATATGGACACAAAGCTCACCGATTCTCATTTCTTAATCACTTTGGATTTAATTAATTTACAGCTAAAGAGGGATTTTCTGAGTGTAAGGAAAAGATTCCATTTGGTGAGTTACCATTTTTTCTGGATTATAAAGCAATAAAGGCAAAAGAACAGCTTGAAAGACTTAAGGACTTCTGGCAAAAAGCTTAACAAGGAATTGAAGTAAGAAAGTTTAAAATGATAAAAGGGGACAGTTACTCTGAAAGATTACTTTCTAGTGAAAGTGCTTTTGAACAAATTGAACTAAATTAAATTAAACAAAAGTACCAGACCTTCATGGGAATGTTTCTTGTTTATTGTTAAAGAGCAGAGACAATTGGTGGATTTTACAAAACAAAAAATAAGCATAATATGAGCCAGACTGTGATGTTGACCATAACTACCAGATTTGCTGCAGAAATTATTTGAGCAAATGAGTAATAAGGTAGCAGCACTTAATACTAAATTGGCAGCTTTTGAAAAAAGAATGGATGAAAGACTTGTAAAGATGAAAGAAGTGATGAAAGAAGAAGTTAAGATGGAAAGCTCTGTAAAACAAATGTCTGGAGAGATAAAACAAATTCATGAGGAAGTAGAAATTTTAGAGAGCAAAACAAGCCATAGAGAGTTGGAAAGAGAACTAGACAATCTGGCTCTATTGGAATTTTGCTTGAGACTTAGAGCAATCCCAGAAACTTCTGATGAAGATATTAAAGCAAAGATTATTAAAGTCTTGGCAATTTTTTTTGTTTGGGAAGAGGAGGACCTAGAGGCAGAAACTGAATTCAAGATTTGCGAGAACAAGAAATGTTCCAAGGGATGTTTTGGAACACTTTGTCAGGAAAAAGACAAGGGATCAGGTTTTGCAGCAGTATTTCAATACAAGACTGAAGACTGATAATACAGATATAATTGTTCTTAAAGAAATTCCTATCAGAATCCTATGTAAGAGAAAAAGTATTTTTTTTCTGATTGAAAGATTAAAGCAGAAAAAGATCCCATTTCGATGGGACAAACTGGAAGTTGTGATTTTTACATTTAAGCAGCAGAGGTTTTGATTGAATTCTGTCCAGAAGGTGAGACAATTTCTAGAAAAATTCAAGGAAGAATTGGAGGAGATCAAATGGAGGTGTCAGAGAAGACTACACAAAAAATCCAACAGATGCAACAAGAAACTGAAAGGGATGATACTGAATTAGGTGCT